TCAGGCGCTTGCTGGCCCACTTTCTGCAATGACTGATCTAAAACGGCCTTGCAGCTATAATCATTAGGCTATTTTCTGCTATTGAAGCAGTATTGCTACTGTTGTGGTTTTGCCGTTATGTGCTGTGTCAACAGGTAGGCAAACCACCACTAAGAATTAGCATTGCCAAAGACAAAAGCTACCAGGCGGTCCAGATCAAAGCCAAGTGTGACTCACCAAACTTCAGGCCTCCACTGTATTGCCTGCATAAATCCAATGCCTATTTCTGCATAAAAAGCGGTTCTTTCCAAAGCTATTCAAATGCCAGAAATAAGAGATTATTATGACTTCATGTCATGTTGAAAGACAGGTGGAGGAGAGCACAATGTTTGTGTTGGATTCAAATGTCTGCTGAAATCATTCCTGTCATTGCTAATTGATGTTGCATCTGTCTTTAGATTGTGACTATTGAAAAAAAAAAAAAGCTGAAGATCTTATTCAGAGAAATAATTACAGTTGTACACTGGTAGATATAAAAATAAAGTACATGGGGGGAAGGGAGCTACATACTATAATTTATCAAATTCCTGCGTCCCTGAAAAATAATTAGATGCTGGGCAGCACACAGGCCCTGCTGCAGAGGCTACTGTCAGGGGATAGCAGTGGTCAAAAATAGGCTACCGGTTCTCGTTTATTCCATCCATTTTTGCTCTTCTATTGTGTTTGGAGTATTAGTTTCCAACTATCTAGAGACAAGGCAGAAAAACAATGGCAGGCTTTATTAAGAGCTAGAGACCTAATCCCCAAGCACGAGTGCAATTGCACAAGTAAAGCTGGAGAGGGAAAAAAGGGAATTCTACTTATGTCTGGCTTTCAGGAGTTTCACCCTCCAAAGTCCTTCAGTGTGATATAGTTACAGGCAGTACTAAATCTGCATTACTTTGACAAACTTTCATTGAAGCCATTGAAGATTATTAATGGAAGCAGTACATGAAGTAGCTCTTCAATAGATGCCTTACATCCCAGTTGTATGGCTTGGGGTTGGATTTTTTTTTCATTTTTCTTGCTCCTTTTCATAATGGTTTTGTGGATGTTAGCTGAATCTTTCACAGCCCAATTTGTAAATTTTAATACAAAGATCCGACTCCATCTGGCAGAAATTTATGCTGCTCCATGTAAGCCAGGCACAAGCTTACATCACATGGAGTCACCCGACAGACACCTCTCTAGCCACTCTGCAGCAGAACTGCGCTACAATATATGAGATATATTATTACCATACAACATATGTGACTTGAGGAGTTTCCGTCAGCCAGTGCTCTTGCCAGACACACTTCCTCCTCTACCTCTGTCCCTGCTGCTTTCCTTTACCAAGATACCGTCTTCAGCTCTGCATCGGAAGATCCCTGCACAACCCGACTGCTTCACCCTCGGGAAGCCTGTACTTGAGATCCGCCAGATACTCCCGATGTCCCAGGCAGCAGCTGTTTTGCCACTTGGTAGTAAATTATCCTGGAAGGGCCCTTAAGGAGACAGAGCTTGGAACAGCTCTCCCATGCAGTTGTCCCTTAAAAGAGTGCACCCATGACTGCTCTGGCGGGTTAAGTTCATTCCAGATTGTGTTTTTCACAGCATACACACAGCAATTCAGGCGCTTAGTGCTGTTTTTCCTACCCACTGTGTGTGCAGAGGAAGACGGTGTGGGGAAGGGGGAGTGAAGCCACTCCCGGGACTGTCAGCTAAATCCCGTGTACAGAGCACTCCAAAGGCCAGCAGTGGAAATCCTACCGGAGAGCAGACAGTGTTTGCGGAAATCCAGTACCCTGAATCCACTCTGGGACACGGAGGTTTTGTGGCTGCTGTTTCACAGGCTGAATCACAAGCCTCAGCAGACTCTGCCCTTACCTTGGCTCTGGATCACTGCATGAGAGTGCAAATGTCCTTTGCCCACGTAGAGTGGATAACTATAATTTTATGTAAGTTATGTGAATTTCATTTTCAGTTCACCCCCAGAACATTGTTTAAGAAGGTCTTGGAAGTGTAATTTCATACCAGTATCTGCAATTGTGAGCCACAGCCTCAGGCAGTAAGATATTTTCCTGGTATCTAGGCAATAGAGCTTATGTATAGAACTGCTTCCTGCAGCTTCAAGGACTCCTTCTTCTGATAGTTGTCCTTCTAATTTCTACATCATGCTTGTGAAGCAAGGAATTTGTTCATACATTAGGAATCTGTGGTTGTAACATGAAATAATAGAGAGATGTGTCAACTTCTTCAGCATTTTTTATATTTCTGGAAATTGAAAACTAATTGCTTAACAATCAGAAATGTTGATCAGCAAGTTCCTACGTAAATATTAAAGTTTTACGTTAAAGAAGCTTGCTGCTTCACTGACTCCCGATTCTAAAGTAGCTGGGAGGGATGGACTCCCCCTTCATATGCTGTCAAGTTAGGGAATTGTAGGATTAAGGTGCTTTTTTTTAGCACAATTCCATAAGACATGCATGTCCAGATGCAATTTTAACTTTTCATTTACATTTGCAATTCAATGTGTGTAGGAGCCTCCAAAAATGAAGTCTTCCATGAGAATTAACTTAGAGTAATACAAAGTAATAAAAATTGATTGCGGCACCTTCTCGGTTGTCTTCTGAAAATTTATAAATAAATAACTGCTGTAATGGGTATCGGTGTCTTCTAGAAGGTTTCCTTTTCCCCCCTTTACATTGCGTTGCAACAATTGGCTTCACAATGACTCATTGCCTTCGTTAGGAGCGGGAAGACATCCCTCATTATTCATTACTAAAGGAAGGACTTTGCTGCTGCAAAGAACAGCCATGGCATTCTAATTCAGCCACCTTTCAAGAGCAAGGAGTCGATGTCATTCTTCCCCAAACTTTGCCAAAACAGAAAAGAAATAATGCTGTTTAATTGTCTCCGTTTATAAATAGCCCGTTCGCAATGAGAGAATTGTATTTTTAATGCTGCAGCCAGGAGGAAAAGACACACATTTTTCTACATTTGTGCCGGAATTTCATTTCTGGGGGCTCGCGCTGAGACTCTCAAAACTATAAATGATCAGATATATGTATGTATAAATATGAAATGCATTTATTTATTTATGATTTATTGTATGACTTTTTAATTAGAGTACTGTAGATGTATTGCAGAAATGCACACACAAAGCACTTACTGTTTAAGTAATCCGAGGATATATCTGATTTCAAAGGGAGTAGGGAAGATTGTATGAAAATAATTGTTTTTCTTGATTTTACTAATACAAACGTTCCTTGTCTCTTTTTGCATTCCTTTTTTTCAGGTTTATTTACTTAGATATTAAGGGATTGAGCTTGTATTATGTTTTTAGTGTATTTTAATGTGGTTTTTATTAAGCTCTACAGCATGGACCATGCCTCTTTATAAATAAAGCTATGATCATGTATTACTAGAAACCCTATTTCAAACAGTACTTTTGCCGGACTTGGTCAAGATTTTCTAGGAAGGGACATTATAATTGTGTGATTAATCTTCAGAAAAGGGAAATTTTGGCTCTGCAGTATTTCTTACTGTATTAACTTCAGAGATTTATAAAACCAACTTGAAACTGCACTGTAAGTGTGTTTATAATGACTTTTAGCTGATTTAATAATCCTCAAAGTTTGGTGACTGTACAGATCACAGCTTCACAAATACAGTCCATTACCTGTAGCATCCAGATGAAGTTATCAGAGGTGGAAGAAATTACTTGGGATTGTATTTCTCCTCAGCGATGCACTAATCCAACCTCTGGCTGAGGCTGGGGCTCTCAGAGCCCTTGTCTGCATTTATCCCATTATGCAGTGGGGACATGTGCATGGATGATAAAGAACCTCTTCATGTTGAAAGTCTAGCTAGGCCATGTCTATACCATCAAATCTTGGTGGCGCGGTTGTAAGGCACCCGGTGTGGTAATGTCGTTAGGAAAATTTTCAAGCCAGTCTGTGACTCATTTTTTCTGTTGTTATCAGTACCTACAGTGTGCTGCTGCTAATGCCACTCCCTGCAGCTGGCAGTGCTTAATGTCTCTCTTAGTTCATGATCCTGCAAACCTTTTTCAATCCAAGGAGGTCTTGATCACGCAAATAGCTCTGCTAATTGCAGGTATTGGTACTGCCTTACCCCGGTGGAGTAAGAGCCTCTCGGCCAAGTAATGGTGTGCAGGATCAAATCCTTAGATTACATTTATATGTGACAAGCCATGGCACAGGGTTGTTTTTAAAAGTCACCACTTAAAACAAAACCAGTTGAAACTATGCCAGAAGCCCCATGTTAAGCTTTCTGGCTGTGTGCTTCTTTCAGTGTTTCCAAGCTTTGCTTTTCATAATAATAAATATCAAACAACAACCCTGGGAATCACTGGGAGCTGGATTGGCAGGTCTCAGTCTCCATTTAACATGCAAATGATCAGCCTGTGCCCACATATGGCCACTTGCTAGATCAGAACTCGGTTCATTAACACAGAACTCGGAGAGCTCTGGGTGGCTGTGGGGCATGAGCATAACAACCCAGAGCACGGTGCTTTAAGCCAGGAAGCGAACAACGTGCAGCAGAGAAGTGGATTGACATGTGTTCAAGAATCCAAATACTGGACGTGTTTTTGCAGAATCCTGATTTTTCTTTTTTTGGTCTTCCAATTCACAATAGTTAGGTAATCAGGCTTCAATCAACTGCATATTTCCAGACCAGTTATTTGAGATATTTTGTGACTTTAAAGCAATTCCTGACCTTCATCTCTCAGGTGACATGCAGAGTTTCTATAATGGTGCTAAGGACTGAACAGGAGCCCACTAACACCTACAGAATTCACCTCTCTGGCATTTTCTTAATTTTCACTTTATTAAGCAGATAAAAGGATAGCTATTTCCTTTCCACGCTCCCTTGTTTGCTCTGTGATGTACTGTGAGATATCAGTCCAGTCAAACATTTCTTTGATCAACGAGCAGAGTAAGCTGCGTGAAACCTAACGTGTGCCTTTACATCTTTAGGCATCCACTGCGACAATATATGCACCCAGGGCCGCTGGGGACCAAACTGCTCCATCTCCTGTAACTGTGAGAACGGGGGATCCTGCTCCCCAGAGGATGGCACCTGTGACTGTGCGCCAGGATACAGAGGACCCTTGTGCCAGAGAAGTAAGATTTTCCATAGATGTGGTGGCAGAAGCAAAGCAGGTAGAAATGCTCATTTATGACACCAGAGAGACAGAGCCAAAGGTTTCTGAGCTGCTTTAGCTCATGACTTCCTAAGGGCAAAAGCTAGCCTAAAACATGCTTCTTGATCAAGAGGTCAACACTCTACTGCATTGAGTCGTGCCTTGTGTTTCTTCTTCTGGCCTTCCACAGCACCTGGAGCTCACAGGTGACCTGAAAGAAGGAGCAACACCTTTACATACCAAAGTTGGCAGGATCTGGGCAAAAACAGATTTACAGTTAAGTGGTGGTAAACTACAGGATACCTATTGAACAGTCAGCTACGACCCATCACATAATGACAAGTGGATGAGTGCTGGCTATCAAAATAACAAGACAATGTTTTCTTATATGCCAGAAAAAGAAACACAGCAGCCTGAAATAGCTCCTGTCTGATGCTCTGCTGCTGCATATTAAAATGTGCCAAGGAGATAAAAATCCTCTCATTTGCTTTATCTGGGAAGCTGCATTTGCCCCTTAGGGACCCTTATTCACTGATCCAAACTACACGCAACCTTCTTCCTGTGTAAACAAGAAATGGATTTGTCTTTCTTTTCTGCAGCAGCTCTTGTTCTTCCTGTAAGACACTCCACATGCCCAGTTCATATATCCCCTTTGATTTCACCAGTTACACTTGACATTAGAACACACTCATCTCTAAAAATAATTTGTAGGTGACAGTTTTTATTTAAAGCCATTATAACAATGACCTCTAGCACTGCTGTAGTTAATGGCCTATAAGCATTTCCATTATAAACCCCAATTTCCAGGTGCTTCAGCATATCTATATAGCTGTAAAACCACTCTCCAAGGCTAAAGTGTGGTGCTCAGAGCTTCAGGGAATTGGGGAAGAAATTGTTTTACAAATTTGAAACCCTAAGAGTGCGAAACTTCCAGAAGTTAATAGTTTCTGACCTTTCTGAGATGAAAAAAAACAGCTTAGTTTTATCAGCTGATGGCATGTAGGCTACAAGAGGCAAACCATGTCCCCAGCTTGCAGCTTCACTAATCAGGCTGCTCTCCGAGGACATTTGCTGAGGACCTAAAGGGGAGACATTTTCCTCCCCACTGGGGTGACAGCAGAGGGGTTCTGTGGATGCTTCTGCTATTGCCTCGTGTTGCTGAAATGCCTCTCTTCAATATACAGCCAGGGAATTCAGCTTGCTCCCACCTCTTCTGTGAGATTCAGGCTCAAGACTACCTGGTGAAGAGGACACTTTGTAGGTGAAGGTAGCTTTAGCCTGCTAAGTTTGCTCTCAGAATCATTCCCATTTTTCTCTTGGAAATTCATTTAGGAACAGAATTTAGCCTGTAAAGGGCAGTACTGAGGATGATACCCAGCCAGCTTGTTCTGTCTCTGTAGTCAGGATTACATGAGACACCGGGATAGTTTACTGCTCCTAGGCCTGCAGAAATGTCCCCAGGAATGATCCAGGTTGGTTTATAGCTAATGCATCATCAACAAGCCTGCCAGCTAAGTTCCAGCTGGAAATCTGCAGTAGTGTAAGAACCTGACACCCTCTGTGAACATACGGACCAAGACAAAAATTCTCATTCAGTGAAAAAACAGAACGGACATGATATAGTAACCACTGAGGCAGAACTATATAGCAAAGAATCACAGGAGTAAAAATAAAAACATATAAAGTCATTTTTACAGTTACTCACTGCAATTTAACATTTCTTTGTGCTTATCTGTCACAGTGAGTGTTTGGACAGCGAATGGTTTTTCATTCTACATGTGCTTAGAAGCGACAATACGCGTTTATAAGAGATACTGAGCCATAATCTTGGCACTATACCTTATGTACAAGTTCCATAATAATTTCAATTCAGGTTTTAAGCAAATTAAGCACACAGTTCATGACAAGTTTACTCAGCTATCCGGTGTGATTACTGATGCAAATTAGGTGATTTTATATGCTGTTACCGTAATTACCATTTTTAGATTCTGTTCTTCACTGATGGATGCTGCTCCTGCAATGGCATGTATAAACTGCCTGTCCCAATTGAACACAGGTATCTCACCTAATACGTTTAGAAATCAGCTTTTGACATGGTTGTTTAGATGTAAAATATTGAGAGTTTCCTAATACACCTTCTCTGATTTCTTAGCTTAATTTCCACAGGAAACTGCATTCTGAGTTTCTGTTGTCTGTACGTGTGTGAGTGTTTCTCTTCCTACCTATATTAAAAGCTTTGGAATGTGTGTTATTAACTGTAACTGCCAGTGGGCTATGAGGTCTTGAACATCTTAAACTCCCATGTTTTGTAAAAAAGTTTAGCTGGAGCAGGCTAGAGAGACTCCAATTAGTGTCTTGAGAGAGAGCAAGGCTGCTGAGAGCGCTCTGCTGTATTATTAAATAGCCAAGGACTTACATGAGGTAGGATGGTCTGAATGTTTGAACCACAGGAGCAGTTTTACTCACAGCTCGCACTTTATTAGACATGGAATAATCCGACAGGCTTCATAATTTCAGCTGTTCACAAAACTGTGTTTTTATAAATTAAGAAATATTGGTTTGGAATTAAGACAGAGAGAGAATTCTCAAGCTCTCAGCAATGAGAAATCTTCTGAAAACCTGTGACAGCTTATTTTGTTTTGTCTTCAGTTTGTCCCCCTGGCTTTTATGGGCACCACTGCAGTCAGCCATGCCCTCAGTGTGTGCACAGCAGCGGGCCTTGTCACCACGTGTCAGGACACTGCGATTGCTTGCCTGGATTCTTTGGCGTTCTCTGCAACCAAGGTACGGAGCCCAAGGCCCCCAGATGCCACCTCCTTTCCTAAGTTTCTGTGTCTGTGACTTTGCAGCAAGACCGGTTACATGGTTCCTGCCTTTCTTCCTTGTTTCAGCAGTTTAGATCCCAAGAAATTCCTTACTTCAGAGGGAAAACGCAAATAGGTACTTAGTCACCCTTTTGTAAATATGATGTGCTCCTGCTTTCATAAATAAAACAGGTCTGCTGCTCTGTATTGAAATGAATATGGAATGAGACACCTGCTGTAAAAGTATATCAGCTATCCAACGGCTTCATTTTCCTTTCTGCTAAGCCTGCCATATCCTAAATGTTGATGGCACCTTCATGCACCTGTCAGCAGGAGGTAAAGGCCAGCTCAGGTACACAAGCCCAAACACCCAGTTAATGCATGGAACCTTATTTACACTGTCTAGGACCTGACTGGGAATAGCTAAAATCATGCGCACCCAAACACAAGGGCAGGAGACAGAAAAATTTGCAATGAGGCAAGGGAAGTGAGTTAATTTTCACAGGGGAAGAGTAGCTTCAACTCCCCCAAATGTCCATCACCTTTCTGTACCTTTGAAAGTTAGTCCACTTTTAACCACAGGTTTCATTTTCAGTTTTATCCTAAAAATGTCCGCAAAATCATTACAGTATTCTGCAGAGTCTCAGTTATTGCATACTCCTGTGGGTATTTTCTACACACAGATTTAAAAGATTATTTGTAATGGCTACTGCCCTTGTGGTCACCATCCCTGTAAAAATTGAACTGACACTTTTTAATGACCTGCTTTCAGTAAGTTAGAAATTGCAGACAGCACTTATGCAAAAGCATTACACATAGATTAAGTATAACCATGTTTTCTTCTTCCTGTGTTGTATAGTCAACTAAACATTATACCAATTAATTTATTAAAATGAACATATTTCGGTGAATTTGTCCATTTTATGTGAAAAGTTAGCCAGATTTCAAAGCGTAAGCAGGGCTAATTATCCTCTTAAGAAAACTATTTTATTTTTGCTCAGATGTTCAGCACTTCTGGTTTTACTTTGAAATGTTGATCTATCCAGCAAATTAATTTTAAAATATTCATGTCCTAATTAAAATCAATTTGTGTTGCAGTTTGTCATAATGAGTTAGCATGTAACTTTATTTTGTAAAAAGAAAAATGCTAATTAAAGTTTTCCATTAGAAAAATGTGAAACGAAGATTTCACTTTTGAATTTTCATCTCCTTGTGCCGTCTCTTTTCTGGCAGCGGGAACATTCTTCCGTCAGCAGCACGTGCATGTGAGGTGCTGTGTAACCTCCGAAAGTGCACAGGTTGACATGGTTGTGCTAAGGATTCTGAGCAGCAAACAACTAAGCAGCTGTTTTATGAATATCTTTCACAATCATGTAGCAAGATGGATTGATAACAACTTGTTATTGCTGCTAGAACACACCTGACATCCCACAGGGGCTTTCGGAGTCCCACTTCAGAGCTTTTATAGCTAATTAACATCTCTATCTGCATTGTACAACCAGCTTGCTCCTGAAGAAAGCAGTGTTAGTCCTTACTTTACAGCTTTGTTTAAAAATGTTTGAGACATTGGAAAAAGTGCTTGTATTTGGACTTCACATCTTCACAAGAGAGTCACAACCAGGTTACTTAAATTAATGAGAACAACCATTTTGGCAGGATGGGGTTTGTAATCCTTCTGTGTTGACATTCTGGAGGGCATCATAGTATTTCACAGAGACAAGAGGTGCTCACACGGTAGGAACCCCTCTGCTAGCTCTCACTGTGCGGAACCAAAGCATTTCTTTTATAAAGTATGACCTGTTGCCTTTGTCAGCACCAGTGTTTGGATCACAAATCTTTTCCTGATTCATTAGTATTCCATGTTGCAGTGGAAATCAGCTCCTATTTTAAGTCAGTCTTTTGAGAACTACTTTTTGTACATATAAAAAATCCAGTCTTCATATAAGTGATGCTATCTATCTCCATCTTAAAGATGCAATAAAAATATAGCATTGAATTCCTCTATATAAAGCATTGGAACTGAATAATGGCATAGCATGTATGAGAACCTAGGCTGACAGATCATTTTAGGTTTTGCCTTTTCTGTGATATGAGGGCTTTTCTCTCCTTCTCTATCTTTCTCTTTGTGTCTGTGTATTGTTCTTTTCATTGTGTCTGTATATTGTGTTTAGTTTTATCTCTTTTTCAGGTAGAGAACTATTCTGTTCAGCACATAATTTGAAAGCCAAAATCAACTTTATCCACTCCTACAGATAAGTCCGTAGTATATAGAAATGCACGCAGAAAACAATAGTATGCCAATGATTTCTGCCATAGTAAGAGTTGAGGATGGCATATTGTATAAAAGCAAATGAATCACAGCTCAGGATTTCAATCTGTGGCTGATTCACAGTCAGGATAGATTGAGGTCACCTGCAGAGACTACATATGAGAAAGTGAGAATGGCTGAGGTGGTAAAACAGTTGCATAATTCAGGGAAGTGCCTTAATCACTTTTTTGACATCACTATTATTTACCAGGATACAAGTCCAGTTCCATTTGTTACATTCTTTGCAAAGATGGACTGTATGTTTTATCTTGTTTTGAAAATACATCTGTTTTTGTCAGGGAACGCAGCCAATAAGAGCACAGAAATTAAACATTTCATTCATTACTGAGCAGAGCTTTCCATCAACTTTAACGTTAAAGATTTCCAATCATTTGGTGGGAGGTTGAAGATCTACGTGTCTATTAGTTTTATGTCACTGTGCTTAGGCTGTTATAAGATGAATCTGAAAAAAAAATTTAGAGTTTCTTTTCTTCCAACTTCAGGGGTAAACTAGGTGGACCGACAGGAACAGACCCTGATTTTGTCAGGATGCAACATATCTGTTTAACAGCTCTCAGTCAAACACATCTATAATGCATGGAAACCACCATTTGCAACCTGATCGAACACTTGCTACAGCAAGGGGTGCTGGAGATGAATAGGTGCCTGGATGCCAAAAGACAAGCATGACGTTTCAGCAATTGGATATGTGCTTTATTTGTGGGAGTAGTCTTTTTCCAGACTTATATGGTAAAAATACTTACGGAAGTGGCAATCTTGCTCTTGGTCTACTCTCCACTTGCATGATTTGATTCTGTGAGATGCTGGGAGCCTGCCTCCCACCAACATCGCTGAAAGCTGATCTTCAGCGAAGCCTAGTGTATTTAGTAGCAAAAGGCACCTCCGTCTCTCACCACCATTTGATCCAGAAGGAATCAGGACAGTGATGAGGTGGGTTTTCTGGCGTACCCCATAGCGCAGTGCCGCATGAGGCATGATGCATTTTGTGGCGCTAGTGGGATAGCAGGGGCAAGGACTGCAGCTCTTTCAGTCTCTCCTTGCAAGCTTATCTGCCACCAGCCATTCATGGGCACTGGCCTCCTAGTACAATACCCATGGCTAGTGCAGCAGGCCATCGTACCAAGTGGTCAGGTTTGCGGCTTTTGGTCCATTATTGCTGTCATTATTAGTTTTACAATACAAGGGTGTTAGGTTCTAGTGACAGACCTGAAAGTAAGAGTCCCCATTGCTCTTCATCTTCTTGAGACTTCTTCGCTAGGCTGATATGTAGCCTAAAATGTTCCTTTCCTATTTTTCTTGTTCTCATTGTTGAAGTCGTAATGTTCTGAGCCAGCGCAGATCCGTATTTCAGGGCTTGCACCAAGGGACCCCCTTGGCCAAGTCCCCAGATCAATCCCTTCTAGACACTTACTTGTGTTTGCTACTACTCTTTGAATTCTTCTCAGCTTTATTGTTCTCTTCCTCTCCCAATAACCCCTATTCCCTGTTTTGTCTCTCCTCTATTCATCCTTCCATAATGCACTTCAATAATTGTAATCCTAACTATATTAGATTCATTTTCCAGCAGAAAAATGGATTTCGAGACAACTTTTTCCTGTTGTTTTTATGCCTGGGATGTAAGCAAACAAAATGGACTTGAATACTTTCTGCCTTTTCCTTCTTTCCAGAAGAATTGTGCCCATTTGGCTTCAGCAAAGAAAAATGTTGTAATTACTTTTATCTCTAATTGCTAAATGTTAAGTCCTATGACTTCCTCATATTCATTATGAAGAGCCTTCAGTAAATTGCCTTATATTTCCACAGTCTGTCCCAGTGGAAAATATGGGAAGAACTGTGCCGAGGTCTGTCAGTGCACCGAGAATGGGACGTGCAATCCTATCGATGGATCGTGTCAGTGTTTTCCAGGCTGGATAGGCACGGACTGCTCTCAGAGTAAGCAAAGTGTTATTTTTCCACCTCCGCTTTAAAATAACATATTTTCCTGTTTAGTGTTTTCTGAAAGTTAAAGACAGATTCTGGGGAAATCCCTGAAGTATTACAGCAGCCAGTGCCTTACTCTCTTTATAGCTTATTTCTTTTAATTAATCTAAGTTAGCTTTGGCTTGAATTAGTTTCTGCATTTGGAATTTGCAGAAGCCGTTACTAGCTTCTATTGCAGGAAAGGGAGGTCACAAGCTCTTATCAGAAAAGAAAGCTCCACGCTCCCTTTTAATTTCTAGCTGGATTCCCTTTTATTTATTTTTTGAAATCATTTTCTTTCAGCTATTACATTAGAAATTATTAACCAGTAAATGTTTTCATGTACCAAGCCCCCAGAATTGAGAAATTAGGCAGCTGAAATATTTCCATTAAATGTAATTTAATTGTAAAAGTCAATGTGGGCTTGGAGGGATGGAGGATTTCTTCTTGAAAATTGCCCAGGTAGAAGATTGGCATTTGCTGATCCCAAAGTGTCATTTCCTGAGAGCATCCCTTAATTGAAGATAGATCACAGAGGGAAGCAATATCCTATCATTCAGAAATGTTACTTCATATTCAGGATACAACTAGCATATTAGACAGCATTCCAGAGTAAAATATATTAAACTTCAAGTGATAAAGTAGGAATCGGATAAAAACAGACGGCTGTAATTTTGCTCTTATTGTGTGTCTTCCACAGGCAGAATATTGCTGTCACTCAAAAATAGAAAAAAAAAAAGGAAAAAAGACAGAAAGCTCCACAGATTCCTCATTATATTTAGCCATGTAATTGGGAAATGACTGTTAGTTTCTGTTAACCTTGGAAAAAAATGTTTTTTCTTACTAAGTGAGGCAGGCCAGTTCAGCAGCAACAATTTCCAGTTTAGCAAGCAGAAGGACCTGGTGATAGCTACTTTGTATTTTGGATGAACAAAGTGGGAACCTGGCTGTTTGCTCAGTTACCTTCTTGTAAAGAAAGTGTAAATCTCCCAACGGGAACCTGGCCTCACACCAGGCTCCCGTCAGAACCTGGCCTCGCATACCCAAGTCCAGTACCAAGCTATTTCGGTCGGACCTCCCTGCGCACCAGTTTACCTGGAATGACCGAGAGACAGAGCTGCAAAGGAGATAATTTTAGCTCCAACTCCAGAGCCAGCTCTGGAGACATTAACAGACCCTGCAGCTCTGGCTTACAAAGGCGTTGTAAAAGTATTTCTGGTTGCTTATGGCACGAATGCTTTAGGTCAGATCCTGTTCAGCTTTACACTGTGTGAGTTCAGTGACCTTTTGTTTGATTTACGTCACGGCAGGGTTTTTTTGCTATTCATTCTGGCTTTAGAGATGTCTGTCACATGCCAGAAACTTGCATTTATCGTCCGAATTGGAGCCAATGGCATACATGGAAATAGGCACGGTTTCTGTACTTTCAGGTTTCCTGGAACCATGCCTTATTAATTCATGTCTTTAATAGGAAGCAATGGAAAGTGCTTTTTACAGCAAAAATATAGTTGTTATATTGAAGGGTTATCATCATTTTGGATCTTTTAGTCTGGCACTAATAACTGTAACTTACTGCATTCATTTTTGGAGGGAGGCTTAAAATAACTTTTGAAAATGTATTAATATTGTACTTGTTGAAATATATAATAGACCTGGAGATTTTAATTTAATATTAGCCCCATCAACAAAAGCAATCTGATTTTGTGGATGGGAATTCATACTGTAAGAAGTTTCCTTTACATTTTTACGTAATTTGAGTAGCACTCTATGCTTCAAATGAATGTGGTAGTTTTAGTAGTTGATTGCATGGCAAAAGTAAGCCACGAATAGCTGTGCTTTATTATGCAAGAATTCCAGAATATCAAAAAGAAAATTAAATTACCTCAATATCTTAAAACTCTGTCTAAACTGTCTTCACAGATAATGCCGGTAAGGCAGGGAGAGTGGCTACAGCACTTAGGGTAATGTAGCGTCGAGGGTCGCTCTTTCAGTGGTTCTCAGTGCACAAACACAGCACAGACCTGATCCTGCCACCTGGCCTACCCGGGGGAGAATCCCTCGTGCCAGGGCTCGACAGCGTGGGTGAGGTTGCAGGTTGGCACCTGGGTTTCTAAAGCGATCGTTGGCTTGGAAGAACCGGTCACTGTCAGGGAGTCGCTGCAGCGATGCCAAGCTCTGCAATGCGAAGTTCTGCCTTTGCTGGTGTCTCACAGGTTCTCCCTTTATAGTTGTTCCTCGGCAGCACTAACACAGTATCATTGCTTTTTTTGTCAGCTGACAAATCTTTTTTATTTTCATAGCTTGTCCCACTGGTTTTTGGGGCCCTGATTGCTTTCATTCATGCAACTGCCACAACGGAGCAATGTGCAGCCCTTACGATGGAGAATGTAGATGTACTCACGGTTGGACGGGGCTCTACTGCACTCAGCGTAAGCCTTTCAGAGACAGTGTCGTGCCAGGGAATCTGTCACAGTATGTGCTGCTACCTCGTGTCTCTTCCAAGTATTGCAGTCTTCCCTGTTAAACCACCTGCTTCTTACTTGTGGTAACTTCACACCACCCCGAAGAAAATAGTCCTGGAGCTTTTCAAGGCTTTTCATGCCTTTCGCACTTGATAAAGGAGGGACCGATCATTTAGGTTATCGATTCATTTTCAGAATTTGCACGGTCTATGTCCCTGCTTGTTAAAGCCCCGGTATATGTGGTCTGATTTAGGAAAATGTTTGAGATTTCTCATCCTACTAGTGCCAAACTGTATGAAAGTGGAGATCAAATTCTGGTGAGCCTTTTAAGGTTCTTTCATTTGCAAGTAATTGATTGATCTCTGGCCTGTTTCTGTTTAGCCATTTTCTTTCACTTCTTGAAAATGCAGTTTGTAGAGATGGGTCAAGTTTTCATTCTTCTGAAACACTTAAGAGGCAATTCTGTAAGATATGAGAAACACCACTTCAAGAAAATTGGCTTTCGTAGTATCTCTGCATTTAGATGATCAAATAAATGTGATTAAATATACAGAGGCTGAAAATCCATAGATTTATAGGCCTATATATTTTGTGCTGATAACGCATCTGAGTTTGTGTTTCAGCTTATTTCTTAGTCTTTCCTTATTCTGATTCCTGAAAGGTTGCCCAGCTGCTTTTTATGGAAAAAACTGTGCCAATGTTTGTCAGTGTCAGAACGGAGCGGACTGTGACCACATCACTGGCCAGTGCACGTGCAGGACTGGATTTACAGGCAAACAATGTGAGCAAAGTAAGTAGCAACATGACTTCATTTTTCTGTTTCTCCAGGGTGGGGGTGGTGCTGTATTTCACAATTCTTTGCAGAAATAGACTCTTAAATGAGTTGGTGTTGTCAGCAAGACAGTAACCCCAGGCACCTTATGTAATCCATAGGGAGAAGGCGGCATCTCTGGAAAGCTGGACAGTCTGTTTAAGCATAAAGTAATATAGTGAATCCTCTGCAAATTAGGCCTTTCCTTTCCCAGCCTAAAGTTAGGTCAGATAAAAGCAAGTCACTGCACTCAGTGCTGCCTGGATGTAGCCTTCCCAAACCACTTGTACCTAATTAATACAAAAACACAAGCTGCATCACGCCTTGCTAACATTGTCGAGAGTAGCAGCATCAAGTTTCCCTAGGCACGAAGGAAGACAGAAGAGTTAAAAGAAAGAAGTCCTTTCTGCTCTCTGCCTGCCAAGGAATATTGGGGCTTTCTTGCATAAGTTGTTATGCTATAGATGTGGACCAAATAAAGATTCATCTTTACAATGAAAACAGATCAAGGAAAAAAAAGTTGCTTGCCATTTTTGGAAGGATCTGTGTTTAATTTGAGTAGCGAGCAAGTGTTTAACAATGAACTTCAATTACCTTGCAAGGGTACTGGCATATCTTACTGTAATTGTTGTGAATGTCTTGCTGGCATATTTAGCACACCGTGCCAAATGGCTTCTTTTAAGAACAAAGAATTAGGGTAGTGGAAACTGTATGTGCTGTAGTTGAATAATTACTTGTTTGTCCAGTACAGTAAATCAAAAGAAAATTCTCACACAGTAACTTGGATTCTAAATGCAGGGTGAAATCTGTCTTACCTTCCCAAGGCATTAATTCCACAGGGTTTAGTTCCTTCTTTTGGCAGTAAGGTAATACAGTAACATTCCTGATAGATTTGCAAGTGAAAGCTTCTTAGCTGTAGCTTACGACATGGACCTTTGTGAAAGTATTTGTACGTACAACTAAGTTCCTGAACATCTTTTCTTTTTGCACATACTTGCATTCAGCAAAGCATGTATCTCAGGACCAAATTTGCATGCTCATGTGGGGATTACATATGGCACCACTGTAACTCTGTAAGTGGCCAATTTACTGTGAATTTGTGTACAGCCTTTCTGCAACCATAAATAAAACAGGAAACAAAAAAGTTCCATAGTAGAACTGCATCATAGCAGGTTTTACACAAGAAGCTACGTCTATAATTTGACCTCTGTACAAAGCCCGAGGCTTTCTTTTCTATCCAAACTACAAATGTATTTATTTATGTGGTTTTCTACTATTTAATCTAAAAGTATGACTTCATTAAGACTCCTTCCTTCTCAAAATGTGGCTGAATAGGCAGTCACACTGCATTGCAGATGAAATGCCTAAAGGCAGACATTGTTTCTGTGGTGCAGTCCAAAAATTTAGGCCTTATTCATTTTAAGTAGGCTACAGATTAATATCAGAATGAGCATTAATTGTAATAATTTTATTTTTCCTTCTTTGGGGACATGCAGATTAAAGAAAGAGATATGACTTTAATACACACTGCAAATCATTATACACCTACTGGCTACTGTTCATTACTTAATATTAAATTTTGGCTACTAGAAGTTACTTAGAGATCGACATTGGGAAGGTATCATCATGCTATGCAAAACATTTGCAGTGACACAGAAGAAGTCACATCTTAAAGCAAACAGTATATATTCTAAAGAATCATAGCAAGTGTGCATGCATTCAATAATGCGTCTTCTCCATAGAAATAAGTAAGATGTGACAGAAGTTGTTTCTTTCAATTTATTATTGAATAGCGCCTCAAGAAGTATAGTAAGCTGCCTACAGATTTATTGTAATAGCCCATCATGGTAATTGTATGAATAAATTTCTCAGCTGGACATTCAATCATTTTGTCTTTGATAGAAATACAAAGATAGGGTAGAAATTCCTTCTATATTAGGAATCCTAATATAGCAGCAGAGCAAATCAAACCATTCAGATGCTCAATTCTGTAATTCCACCTGCAATGTTATATTCCTCTTCTAGCACTAGTAGGGATAAGTATGAAAGCCTGCGGGATTTGTTTGGTAAAAGTCTATGGTGTTCATAAAAAGGGACATTACAATTTTTCTTTGCAACTACACCCATGGAAAAAAAATATGCAGAGTTGGTGGAGAATGCTATGCTCTTTCAAGATGTAGCCTACAGCTTCTGAGCTCACGCCCTGTTAAATTCTGTTCACTTGTAATACATATCAAGCCTTTTAAAGTCTCTGTACATATTATTGGTTTCATCCCTGTGAAGTCTTGTATGACTTTTCCAGAAAGTTACAGCTTATTAAGTAATACCCCAAAGTGTGCATGAAATACATTTATCTCCTGTTTTAAAATAACAATAATCTAACATGCAGGTATTATCCTAGAGACACTGAAACCAGGGAGACTTTTCTACTGAATTTTTCACGGCAAGTGTTTCACCCATTCCTGAAAAAAGTAGAATTCTTTCCAATTTTTTTCTTTGGCTTCCCAGAGTGCTCACCAGGAACATTTGGCTATGGTTGCAAACAACTATGTGAATGCATGAATAATGCTACATGTGACCATGTCACAGGTACTTGCTACTGCAGTCCAGGCTTCAAAGGAATCCGATGTGATCAAGGTACAGTGAAATTCTATCTATCTGTAAAATATCTCTCTCTCTCTTTCTCTCTCTCCCCCTCCAATGATGTACTTGCTTTAAAAAAAATAGTCTTTCAAAAATGAAATGCACAATTCAATTTACAGTGTGTTATGAATTACTTTTAACAGCGGCTCTTATGATGGAAGAATTAAACCCCTATACTAAAATTAGCCCCGCTCTTGGATCAGAGAGGCACTCAGTGGGAGCAATCATTGGAATTATTATTCTCCTTCTAATTATTATGGTCTTGCTGGCACTGTTTGTGTGGTATCGACGGAAACAGAAGGAGAAGGGCCATGACATGCCAAGTGTGTCTTATACTCCAGCCATGAGGATGACTAATACAGATTACTCACTTTCTGGTAAGGGTCTTTTTATGTTAATCAAATATAGACTCATTCCTGTATGTTGGGGAAATATAACCTTCTGTGATGTCTAACATGCGTTATTGAGCCTCAAAAATAATGATACTTCTGTTCTTCCCCTGAATACCATGATCTTTTAACACTTAACAGGGACAGGACATTAAATACAACTTAGGACTGACTTAAGCTGCTTTATATATGACAGTTTACCTAACACGATACAGGACATACCTAGGCAAGAAATACGCTGCATGGAATACATCAACTCCATTTTTTTAAAAAGGCTGCATTCCTATTGCAGTGCAGAGAAGTTTTCCCTCTGTGAAACCTTCAGAAGATGACTTTTTTTGCTTGAGGGATGGGATTGACTGGGTCAATCATAAGATTTTGTATTTGTCTATGTTGCAGTTTGTGATTTGAGGCATCCTATTCGTTGTCACTTTCTTCTGTGTGCAGACCAATCCCCGTCATCTAGACAGCTGGTGTGAATTTTCTTCACAGGAGCTGATGAAAGCAGGAGAGAGGAAGAGGAAGGCTCTTTAAGATCAAAAAAAAGTCATACTGAGATCACATTTCTTGCTTCTTTCTATCTTCTGCTGCTGCTATGGAGGACAGCTTTTCTTGACAGACTGGCTAAACTTTGGAGGATGTGATCTCCTTTTTAACGCTGTCATTCTTCTTCATTCCTCTATGGCCAATATCAGATAGGATGCCAGACAGGAGATGGCTTTACTTGCTTCTTGTTTCCTCCGATCTGTCTCTAGTGGGGATCTCCTCAGGGTTTGCTGCCCTCTGACTGCCCTTCGTTTCGTCACTTACCTTTAAATGGCTGTAAGCCCAAGTAAATACAAGCTCCTGAAACAGGCAGAGGCTGGCCTAGCAGCTCTGCTCCCCTAGTCCTGCATTGCCTTTTCCTTTCCGATTTCTAGTCTACATGCCCAAGGCCCAGCCACTTCTTGCTGGCTCTGACTTGGCTTCTGTGCTGTCTCAGGGTGGCATGGCTGGAAGCTTCGTCCTGGACTTCCCTGCCCGGGATGCACCTGGAAGGAGCTTCTCCCACTGAGCCAATGATATTAGTGCCTGGCTACGGCTCAGACTTAATCAAGGAGCTTCTATCATGGCACCATGACTTCAGCCCTCATATCATGCAATGCAATGGTCCTCATACCAGAGTTTCCTGCAATGGCATGTCACGCATCAGGGGCCATCTGCTGAACACCATTGCCTAAATTCATATTTAGACCACTCAGGCCTATACTAGAGCATTCCTTCTTCTGTTAGCTACAAGATGGGGAAAAAAAGTCAGCCTTGGACTTCCTCCCATTGCCTCTTATTTTTTAATTTTAGCTTTGCAGGCTCTTGGTTAAGCTGCCCATTTGGGTAAGAAGTGTATGAAAGTGTTGTCAGAGAGGGCTCGTCTGATCCTTGGCTAGTTGCCAGCATAATTTGGCCTGAAATTTGTCATTTCAACATCATTTGAAGAGCCAGAGCATGAGCATGCAAAAGACAACTGTGGCACATCTCAGCAGCAGTGAGGCTCCGAGTTCCAAGAGAGCAGATCACAGCTGCTGGCATGGCAAAATGTTCTGAACTTTTCAGCGATCCATTTCTTTCATATTGGCACTTTATCCATTTATTTACAAAGCCTGCTACACCTCATTTATTTCTGTACTTTTCTAGTTAATGTATGTGTAACCCAGCATGCTTAAGAGGCACAACTTACAAATTTCAAAATAAGGAGAAGAATATTGCTGAGGTTGGCAGTTCCTGACTGCAGTAATTGAGCTTCTCCTTCCAGACAAGGGAACAAAAATCCCGTGGGTTTTTTTTCTCCATATTTTACCATGAATGGAGACTTCCCAATCGACCTGATGATATCCCAGTCTGACACTCTGCAAGAAGTCTGAAAAAAGGCTAATGCTGAGAAAGGATACCCTCATCCTTCGAAGTCAACATAGACAGATGTCTGTCCTCCTCAGCCACAGAGAGAAAGCCATTACGTTTGAAGACATTGGTAGCCCAGGACTGTGCTTGCTGTTATGTCTTTGTGGACACTGCATCTCCCTGTACAATGTTCTTCACATTCCTTTCAGGTGCAGCCACCTATCACAGAGCTCCTGATGCCACATCATACTTAAGTACTTGAGGAAAAAAAATATTTGGGGGATGGCTGAATTCCTGGATACATCATAAATATCTGAGGGATCACATCCTTCAGCTGCATGGAACCTGGGATCTCTTCTGGTCCTTGGGCAATGACAGTGAATTTAATTCTTGCCCTTGTGGCACTGCTGCTCTGTGTCAGCTCTGTTTGTAAAAAATCTGAAGTGCCAGGTCCTTGCAATCCCAAACAGCACCAGGTCAGTGGTGTCGTATGGGCTTCTCTAGAAAGAAATTGGATAATTTTTCCTTCCTGTTCATCTCAGTCAGTGATGGGGATGCAGAGACTGGGCCTTTTCTTTATTCTTTCTTCTTTCTTTCTGTGTGCAGTCCTTGTAGCCATCTAAATCTTATCACTCAGGAAGCTGCAGCTGAGTGGGGTCAGCCATCTCTTTCTGGAGGTCACAAGAACAGTTTTCTTCCTGCCTTCCCCCTGAAAAGCTCTGCTATCTGAGCTTGCAGAGGAAGACTAAGTTAGAAATCACACTGCTCCATCTTCATCTCATTATAAATTGTCTGCAGGTATCGTCAGCATTGTTTCAAGTTTTGGTCTTTGTTTTAGAAGGGCATTTACAAATTCTAGACAAGGGCTTCTGAAAGCTCCCTGCCAAATTCTGACTGTCCTCCAGTACATTCTTCTACTGAAGCTTTCTACCCATCAGTAACCTTCCCAGCTTTGGCCTTACCAAGGCTGTTTTCAGCCTTTCACTTCCCTAGAGCAGAAAGACAGCAAAAAGGTGCTGATGTGCATCTTCCCCAGCAGCAAATGGGGAGATGGATACTGAGACAAGGTCACAGCTAAGAAACAGCGACTCACAGCGTGGCTGGATGGCAAGAACAACACATGTGCATGTGAGTGCATGCGTGCATTTGTGTGTCGCAGAGGACTCTGAAGGACAGTAGCAGTATGGCATAGAGGTAACAGGGATTTCAGCCTTCGCCTGGAGTTTTGTATGTGAATTAAGGGCAGAATACTATGCAGATGTACTTGTGCAATTAATATAATCCCACATAAACCCATGGACTTCAGCAGTCTATGGGTCGTAACATTATGGCTAACCTGAATCATCACTGTTGTTATTTTGCTGGTTTACTCTTGTTAGGGTAGTGTTGTTGTTGTTGTTTCGGAACAGAGTCACATATAAAGATCCCTAGCTCCTGGAAGCAGTAATTTCTTCCAGCACATTAATTTATTTCTGGAGGATGTTTTTTGTCTTTACATCTTCAGCTCTTCTGATGCTGATAATCCGTGCATATGGGTGAGAGAGATTATAAGGCAGGGGAACTCCCTGGGCAGCCCTTAGACTCTTTTGCATTTGTGGATAAAGGATGTGGCAGCAAAACACACAGTCTGCCCAGCAGTCAGTGGGAAAGAAAACCACCCGTGCTGGGAGAGCCTAACCACAGCACATGGATCTGAGAGCAGACTTTCCGAAATAAGCCTGAAATCAAAATGGTGCTCCCCAGCATGAGAACGGTACATTGCATCCAACAAAGGATTTTAAAGTGCAGGTTGTTTAATTCAAGGAGATGGGGACAGAAAGGAAAACTGCAGTAGTGCTGGAGAGCAGCAGAGATTTCTTTTCAGGACTTTCACAAAGACTTGGTTATGGGCTGAAGTGATGCTTGAGGTCTTATCAAGGTCTTAAGGAACTTTCTGATATGGGTGAATGCTGAGAGCCAAAACCTAAGCAAAGCTCGATACAAACAGAGCGTCATGGATCCTGCACGCCCAGATAAGATGTTTACAGAAATGATCCTGCAGACGATGTGTAGTAGGAGGTGGCAGAGTGAACCCTCCTGCTTGGAGTCTTCATCCACCCCACTGACACTCTGTATGGGTGGCAAAGATCCACACAAAAAGAAGAAGAAAACAGTTCCATTTTGTAGCTTGAGATATCTGGGTTTGTATTTACTGCAGAGTGCTTACTTATTCCCTTTTTTCATGGTTGGCCTTCTGCCCAGTTTCCACGCTACCCTGTCCTGCTGCCGCTGCAGGATGGGGACCAAAGCTCTTTGTGTCACCTCACAGCCCTGGCTCGGAGCAGAAGCTCAGTCTTTCAAGTGACAGAGCGTTCTGGCCTTCATCCAGACCTCATGGGTCTTCCACTGGAGCTCAGCCTCAGGCTTGAGGGGCTCACGGCAGGACTCTGCCATCACAGATCCCTTCACAGGACGGATCTCCCCATGTTAACATTAACATAACCTTTGGGGGGGGTTTTGTTTGTTTTAATTTAAATCCTTCCCTTTCTTTTCTAGTCATTTAAGTCTTTGCTTACTGTTCAGAGCAGAATAAAATTCTCATCCTCGGGTAGAGAGGGTTTTTTGTGTTTGGTTTTTTGTTTTGTTTTGTTTTGTTTTAACTGGGATAGCATTAGATTTGAATTTGATGTATTTCCAGCCAGCAGCTATAAGAGCTTCATGAATAAATGTGTAGAAAATGGACTGTGCTATCAAGGTAAATCAGCCTGGGTGGGTACTTAAGTATCGACCAAATGGAACTGTGTAGAAGGAGTAATTCTGAGTATATCGTGCTGCATGCAGTGAAGGAGGAAAAGATTTTTGGCGATGCACTCATGTGCGAGCTCAGATTCATTAATTCAGCACCGTGCTAAGTAGCAGGGCAGTCTGGTAGACTTTGCCTTCAGCTCATTTCAGGCGCACGAAACAAGCTACGGCCAGATAAGCTGGGTGTGAACTTGCAATGTGTCAGCTGGCTCACAGTAACGTCAGTACCTGCCCTCTTATCTTGCAGCAAAGGCAGCGGACCCTGCCTCTTTCCCCTTGTTGGAGCTGGTCCTTCTTGCCCGCAGCCGAGCGAGGGCATGACAGATAAG